AGAATATTTTAATAGAAGAACTGCTTGATAAGAGAAGTAATTTTGTGAAGAAAATCAGCTTAAAGTGGGCAAGTGCAATAAAAATGGCTTTTATTTATGGCTATTACATATGACTGTTTTAATACACTTAGTTTATAGTTATATTAGTCATAAACAAAATTAAAATGTACTGTATATAAAAGAAACACAAATTGATATATGAAGTACTTAATAACATTATATTCACTGCAATTATTAAATGATTTAATTGATGCTTAATAAAATTTTAATCATCATCTATAATCAGTATGATATAATATTCATTTTATTAAAATTTAAAAATATAAAAATTACAGTAGATTTGATGCTTTTCTGTTTCATATTTGTAACTTTTAATTCCATAAAAGTTACATAGTACTGTACATAGAAGACCTAATCTGAATGAAATGACAAAAAAAATGGCCTTTTTGTGCTCTCTGAGTGGTAAAGGGCCTAAAACCACAAATAAAAATAAAAAAAATGACAAAAATAAAAACTCAAGTATCCTATTAAAAAATTTCAATGTAATTTCTGTTGATTGTACTTATTTGTAATTTTGTATTTATAATTACTGTAGTAGGTCATATTTGATACTTTATAATTAATGTATCAGATCTAAAAGTACAGTTTTTTTAATGAATTGACAGGATATGATCATTTTTATCTTCTTGTTAACACCAAAAATTTGAAATTATAGAAGGGTGCCATTAGCTCAGAAAAGTTGAAAACCATTGGATCATTATTTTTTAAATCTTTTTTNATATTGCCTTCCATTATATTTCAATAAATATTAACTGCATAATTGATTTTATTATTATTATTATGTCTATTATTTCTGACACGATTATACATATGAATTCGAACAAATAATGATTTTAATTTCTTATCCCAGGCTTAACGGACCGTATCGGACTCGTTAAGCCTTCATATTTGGCCCGCAGCCTCGATTTCTTGTTAAAAATCAATGTTTCTAACATCTTGCGGAAGTTAAAACAGAAACAATTCAAACTTATAACTGTCTACATTAGTCGTTAAGGCCTGGCAAAAAAAAAAGTTTTGTTCGAGCTTGTTTTTTACTTTACAATATGCTTTGGTTTACCGAATAACAAGGAATAAGGCCCGCGTCTGATATGCGTATACTTGAATGTCTTTACTGCATTTGAGTTTGAGATTCCTGTCTTACACGATATCGTCAGTTTGGGACATTTGTAAAGTTTATTATTGTGTGAAAAGGTTAGTTTTCTCGCCACAGCGATATTCCTATAAATTATTATTATCTTTTAAGTTCTGCCTCATTATTTTCTGTCTGATATTTTGTATCCAGTTTTCAGAGATTTTATTTGTTCAGGTAAGAGAGGAAATACATAAAGTGGAGAATGCGGTAGCACGAGGTGATTCTCAAAGATCTACTAGCAGTTTATTACGACGTCGTATACATAAAAGAGATAGGGCAGCAAGTGTATGTAGAAACTAATCTTTGCTAACCATTGTTCATTTTGTTAGAAAAATGTTATTTCAATTAATTTTTTATTATATTTTAATAAAATTATTAATACAACGAATTTAAAAAGTAAAATTGAAAGAAAAGAATTTGATTAATCTGTTGACATTCAGAAATACATCTGTAAGACCCCTATGATATAATCTTATGCTTATATAGCTATAGATATTTATATAGGTTTTCTTTGAAAATTTTCTCTATACTTTTGAGCATAAAAATTGCTCATATTGTTTTATCAGAAGACTCAGAATTTTTCCATTGATTATTTTTATATATTATGCATGCCAAGAGAAATATAAAAATTAAATCCTGATTGCTAATAATTGATATTGTGTAATAATATCATATAATGAAATACAAAGTATGTACAGAAGAAAGCTTAAACTATGATATATTTTCACAAGAATTTGTATATGGATAAACAATTTCTTATATGGAGGATGAACACAAAGTTGCATTAACATCAATTTTAATAACTATCTTAATTTATCTAAAATACTAAGGAAGAGGAAAGGAAAAAAAAAAAATAAGAATTTAGGACAATTGCAAACAGTTACAATGATAAAATGATTCAATCTGAGTTTATCCTTTCTTTTCATTTCAGTTTCACTTAACTACACACAATACTTGATTTAATGTGATAGATCCATATCTGTTATTCATTGTATCCTCCAGTGACTATTAGAACTCTAACACATACAAACAACAATAGAATATTTGTTCCGAAAACTTCTTGAAGTCAAGTCATAATAAAACAACAAATGTTTTTCAGTTTTCAATTTTTTTTTTGTATAATCTTAAATGGACACATATTGTTCTCTTTTGTTCAGTCTTTCACCAAAATCCATTCTTTGCTGACACATTTTTGCTAAGCTTCATCTCCTAAAGACCTGATAGGAACATCCTGACCCAACAATTTTATAGCTTCCAGAAATCTGTTATTTTAGATTGTTCAATTACCATCCACATGACTAGAAATGATATGCAGTTAAGTATCAGCTTAATAAATGAAAAGGAAAGGACAAGCTTAAACATCAAAGTTACAAAATAAATATTTACATAATTGTGGTTTTGAATTACCATACTAGATTCATTTCTGTATGAAAATGAATACTTTGGATCAAATTTTGATGCATGTTTTGTAATAGTCTTGAAATTCAGATTTCCAAATTAAAGTTGTTAGGGATATTTTTTTGTTTTGTTTATGACAAATTTATTGAATTTTATTAAAATAATTTGATAACTAATAAAAGGAATTTTGTAGGTTGAAAAAATGTGATAATTAATGAAAAAAATTTTTGATCTAATAAATTTACAAGAAAAAGGGAAACTTGATATTTATTTTGAATACCACTCAAAGTTTCTATCTGAAACATCCAGATAAAATTTATTAACAAATTTAAAGTGATACATTATCATTAAAAATATAATTTATAAATTCTAATATGATTTTTTTTTCTTAAAATTTGGATGCCAACAGATTAATCAAACTTTAAAATTAAAACATAATTTGTTAAAATTTTAAAAAATATTTTTAAACTATAATGATAATAATAATCACATTTTTTTTTTATACTTCTAAAAAATATTTTTTGAAATAATTTAATAGAAATTGATAAAAGTAAAAAAAATCACATTTTTGCCATCTTCAGTTTCAAAAATTGATATTGTAAAAAGAGTTTGCTTATGTAAAAGTAACTAATTTATTTACTACTAATAAAGGTAAAATGCAAATATTTTGAATGAAAGTTCATTGCATTTACTAAGATATGATGAAAGTATAAAGTAAATAACCATATTTTAACTGAAAAATTTAAATGTTAAAATGTTTATTTAATAATGATATTTTTTAGATGAATGAAAAAGTTACATTATCTTAAGTTTACAATGGCCTTTTTAATTTTCTACTGTAATGATGATTATAAGAAAGTGCACATTTTTCTTATTACAAGAAGAAAAAATTGTGAATATAAAACAACTTTTGTTGCAAATTTCAAACTAAAAATTTGTAATTACTGTATATTTTCTCCCAACAAATTCATGTAGTTTCCAGGAAAGATAAAAAAAAAAGTCTGTCAATTAAATTCATAAATTTTCATTCATAAGATTGAATGCCATTTTCTGAATTTTTAAAAACTGCTTTGAATCCTACTTGAAAGAAAGAAAAAATATATATATTATTTTTGGTTATATATATAATAAATTTTTTGACAGAAAATTTCATTATCGTCAAAACTGTAAGTATATGCAAATATTCACTGGAAACATTGATATTTAATTTACTATGTAAAACTGATTAATATTATCATTAAGATGAACTGCAGCATGAAATGAATTTTGAAAATTGAATGAGTTCTTATGATTTATTATTTTTAAGTTATGATATTATATCAGTATGTTTTTATATTATTAAACCTTTATTTCAAATTATTTGATTTGATTTGCCATGTTTTAAGCACAAGCTTTTAAGTTCACTAATAAACAAACACAAATAATTCACAAATCTCATAATAATATTTATTATTATTAATTGTAATTTTTCTCAGTAATTAGAATGATCATTGCAATACTATTCAGATTAATAAAAATTCAAGATTAATTTTAAAAATCTCTTGTTTTCATTTTAACTTACTGTTACTTTTCATAAGATAGTATAGATGTGAGCTTTACTGATTTTTGTGTGTGTTAAATTATTCAAAAGATAAAATTTCTAAATAAAGAATGACAAGTAGCTTCAAATATTTAAAAAGATTATAGCATTTAATATTTAAGAAGAGAATGCATTTTACTTTATTTAATTATTAAACATTTTTTTAAAATTTCAGTTGCACTATAGATTTGGATTTAATTTCTTATCAATAAAGAAATATCTGAGTTGTCAAAAAATTTTAGACACTAACATTTTAATTTTCTCTTATACTATAATTAAATAATTATTTATTCTACAGATTTTCAGTTTATCAATTTTGAAAGAATGAAAATTTCTAAACCATTTATTTTTTCCACATTATATGTTTTTATTTCTAATTTATTTTTGAAAAATTTGTGCAGATATTGTTTATCATAAAATTTAAACACCTTCAAATGAATAATTTTTATGAAAACCAAAACAAAGTTTGTTGAATTTTTTTTAATGCCTTCCTTATTCTCTAGGAAAAAAAGCATTTGTAATATATAACTTTATAATGCACAACACAAATGATTCCTCAAATAAAAAGATTTCATTATGATCATATAAAAATTTATAGTTTAGAAGCATTTTGTTTGAAACTGGTAGATTTCTTAATATTTATTATGCATGATTGGCAGGTTGACAGTTAATAAATAATTGAGGAGTTTTATATGTGAATTGATTGATGCTAAAAAATTAGAATAAGAAATGGAACGTAAATGGTAATACAAACTAGATAATTTTTTGAATCAGATATGCTACAGTGTAAAGGCAAATCTTTTTCTGTTTGAATGATTGATTTGCATTTATTGACTTTGGAAACTCAGATGGATGGGGTTTGACATTCACATCCCCATGATTCTATTTGATTATTTTTGTGGGAAGATGAATGGAATTTCCCGAACAAAACAATATTTTATAGATTAAACATCAGAACATTCTGACTTTTATTTTGTTATTTGCACATTTATGTTCTAATGGACATAATTCTATTACTGCAAAATAGCACTTTAATTTGAATATCACCTATTATTTCTGCTTTTAATGCAATTATTAGCAATTGTCATTAGCAAATTTTTAATGAATGAGTTAATATTGTCAATGGTCTGATTGATGAAAAGATCTTACTTTTTCTTCAATTAATTAAAATATTACTTGGAATATATATATTATTGCTTTCTAAAATTTTGAATAAAGTAGCTAATTAGATAATCATAATAACAGAAATTTCTTTAATAATAATAATTTGCATTTATTCATTGAAAATTTATAAATAATTTTATAATATTTCAAGCAGTAATAAATTTGAATTCTCAGTACATTTATTACAGATTTTTATTTTGAAAGGAATGCAGTTTGAATATGCAAGATAATCTTTAAATATGCAAGATAATCTCCAAATATGCAAGATAATCTCCAAATATGCAAGATAATCTTTTTAAGATTATCTTGCATATTTGGTAATAGATTATAATTGATTATGCAAAAATTAGAAAGCCATCTTTTGTAATTAGCTTGGATATTCATATGGCCATTATGAGAATACATATTTGAATCTCATTTAGACTTCCAAAATTTTTATGGCTAATTTAAGATGAAATATTATGTTCTTGTCCACATATATCCTGGTCAACTGTTGTGATTCAAAGTTCACATATAGTAGGTTAACTTGAGGCCAGTTCCATAATTTGTTCACATTAGTGCTCCAAATTCAGAATAATCTATAAAATAAAACTAAATTTGAATGAAAATACTCTTCAAATGAAAGGTTTCTCATCAAATAAACTATAATTGTTACTAATGAACTTAATTTGTGATGATATTAAAATAAATCAAAAACTAAACTTATCCAAAATTTTCATTTTTTATCATCACACTACAAATTCTTAAGCCAACATAATAACTATATGATAGAAAATTATAAAATTAAAACTGACAAGAAATAGTTTGTTTTAAATATTCAGATTTGTTATATTAAATACTCTGATATAACAAATCTAAGCAATTAAAAGATAATGTTTTGAAATAACTACTAATTATTTTAAAACCATTATTTTTAATTGTTAATAATAAATAAAATTCAATAATTTAGAAAAATAAAGTATGATATGTTACTTATTTACTTTCAGTTTAACTCTTATAATATATTTTTGTCTCTAAAATTATTATTGAATATTTTTTTCCAAGCAATTTTAGAGTTATTTAATGCTAATACTTTTTCTCATATAATTATATATTAACATAGTAATTAATTTTACATTGCTTTAAAAGTTTTATCATTAATTAGAATGTCTAAAAACTGTCATTGCTACCATTATTAATATTCTTAATTACAAATTTAATAAACAAAAGTAATTAGTTTCTTTTTGTTATGTAACTGAATTATAATGTTATTCAGTATATGCATTTAATAATTGAATTTTTGTGAATTAATATGTTGATTTTTTTTAAAATTTTGGGTTTTTTAAATAAATATTGGAAATTATAAATTACAGGTACAATTACTTCTTAGACATAAAATTTAAAATTATATCAATGTTTACAAATTTGAAACTTGAAAACACTTTTTCTCAACAAAC